ACGATTTTCGTACTGTACGTGTGCTGCACTCTACATGCGAGGCATGTAGACAGTGGCCTATTCTTTACATGCGTGCTCTTATGAACACGAAATGTACCTTCGCCCTCCGTAGGAGGCGGGGAATTTGACTAGCTGAGCGTACTATCAGCTTCGCAAGAATTAGTCTGTTCCATGAAGTTAGTTCGGAAAAGATAAACCCCAAAGAAACATGTATTTCAATAAGAAACACGACTTTGTATCGTGGGCATTGTTTCATAAGAAGTTAGTTGTGAGCGTCATGTGATGTAGAATCTACAGTGGATCAATCGATAAGGACCAAAATGAAAACTCAGTAATTGTTAGTGCACAGTCATGGTGTCAAATAATACACGCTGAAATGGTCTAGATCCCCTTTATGTGTTCAATCTGAGCATAAAGCACTAAGAGCGTATAAAACTGCAAAATCGATCATTGGCGCGCGAATCACACATTCTCGAACCTACACACAGTAGTATATGACGTCACAGTTGTATGTCGGCTTTCATAAACTGCGTCGCGATCGAATGCCAATGTGATCTGACTTTCAGGCAGATCACTGGGAAATACTATGATGTGGCTGCCCTTTCAACTGCACACATGAATGAATGACGACCGTGAAGAAGACACAAGAATTAAACACTTCTTTTGTTTACTGCAAGCAACATCAGGGACAACTGAACACAAACCAAATGGGGAATCGGACAAAATGAATGTACAAATTTGTACCGCCAGTTCAATCTAAATTAGCGTCTTTATGGGATGATGTTTTGAACGAGACACATGACAACGAAACTTAAATACCAGTTCCTTAATATCAGCGTTTAACACCTACCGAAGTGAAGTTTAGAATCCCATTCGAGACACGAATGACTGTATGCAATTATCTGTGTAGGGAGACGCCTTACCATGGGCCGATCTCCTATCTATGGAGTCCTATTGAATGTCTGTTTAAACAAACAGAAACCTCTATTCTGTCGTGAAAATGATGTGAGAGGACCAGCTAAGAACAATTAGGCTATTACCTGCAGTTCAAGAAAGTGTTCTGTCAAGTGCGACTGGTCTCATGGCCTGGAGAGAAGACTGTCCTTCACATGGTAGCACGCACACAGAAACACTGCACAGTGGCTCTTGGTATCCCGGCCAAACTGACCGACACCCACCGACGGCAAACGAGCTTCGACCTGGTTCGTAACCATGACAACCAGGAGCTCCGTCACAAACAGCCAGTGAAAGAAGGATAAAAGGCTGAGAAGAAAAATTGGTGTGAGAAACAAGTGCTTGGCGCCCTTGTTATCTGAAACGTAAACGAGGCAAATGCATGTTCCACGAGGAGGCCGGATAACAATTTATGACTGAATGAAAAGACATGATCTTATATCACTCTTGTAAAGGATTATCAGGAACATACTACGTTGCGTTATTTAGTCCTGACGAGTTACATGAAGCCTTTAAAGCTCAATGGTAACTACACGTACCATAGACTAACACAATAATTAACTGTTTTTCACAAACAGCCGGCTACTAATGGATTTCTTATGATTCTTAAAAGAAAAAGTGATTACTTCCTTAAATATCAATAACCAGATTATTCCTCTAATCCAAAAGCGCTGTTTTTCGTTGCGGTACGAAAGGAATTTTTAAATAATACTTAAATGATCCCCCGGATACAAAGCGTTAAACTGCCTCTTTACGGAAGCCTACCGGTAGTCATGGCAACTGCAGGAAGGCTGTTTACTGTCGGTCAGTTACTGCGTCGTAGGTTAATACAGAAGAACGAAGACGGTTGTCTTGTGGGATGCAGCGCCGTGCTGTTTGGATGAAATTGGCCGAAATTTCGTAGGTGTTTACATTCTCCAGCTATTCACGGACGCAAAATTGTTAAGAAAGAATCAAGAGCTCGCAGAGGAAAATAATCCACGTTTTGTGGCCTACGAGTTTATCCGTAAGCCTGAAAGTTCTGGAGATGGGTAAAAACGGGTAGTCTGCCCTGAAGAACCCTTGGATTGATTTTGTACTGACGCTGACATTGACATTTATTAGTCCATGGGTTTCAGTTTGCAATTATGGACGTTGATTTTGATTAAATTTGATAATGGGGACCTTTTATCTTACATCCCGCCTGTTTAAAGGACAGAATCAGGAGTTTAATCGAATATCTAGAGCAGACATGGCCAACCTTAACGTGGCGTCGGGATAGATCTACTTTTTTCATTATGGCCACAGACCATTTTATTACGTATGATGTAAGTTATTACCAGTAGTTAAATAAAGGAAGTCCGAAATCGAGATTAGTGTGATGACGAGATAAAATATGAGTAATTCCTAACAAAGCCAAGGTTTGTATACCAAGAAACTAACTATAATTTTTCAGTATTACAAGTAAAAGTTACAAATACTCTTTAAAACGTAGAGCAGTAGGAATATATTATAATATTATATATATGGACGTTAGAATAAAAGTTCAGTTCCAAAATGCCGTGATTTCGAAAATACTGTGACTAATGTGACATCTGTGTTTGTTTTTCAAAAAGAAAAATGTTTAAGTTGGTAGCAATGTCCGACGTTACCACTTGTTTCTTAAATGCAAATATGTGAATCGAGATCGAGTTTTCGACTTAGCGAACTCCACCAACTATGAGAATTCTAATTTGGGTATCGTTTTATAAAAGCCTAGTAAAGAAAATTCGTATGAACTGTTTTAACGTGTCATTGCCTTGCAGTTCAGAGCTCCATCTGGAACTTCTCTGGCACATTGTCAATTCCGATATTAGAAGGAACCGGGAAGTTATGTAGGCTTCTTTCTTGGCTCTTAAATTCTTGAAGTAGCTCACTGAAATTATTATTCAATTAACATAAATTGTAGCAAAAGAACTGTAATCGCGTGTTACGTCGTTAGACAATATCGCAAAATTGAATTTGTTCCAGCTCCTAAGTTGAATTCCGTAGAAATGAAGTTGGGCCTGGAAGATTTGGACATGATAGAGGAAGAACCAAATTATATTCAGCTTGTAGCTTCGAATTCAGCTCGTTTTAGTTGGCTTTGAAGTCCACCAAATAAACGAAATCACGAACCTAATATTCACTGAAAATCCCATGCCTTTGGTTTTTTGAGGAACTTAAGAATTCACTCCTAAGACCTTAAAACCGCTTCAACATTTTTCCTTTATACTTGACCGTCTGACTTCACAGGAAAAACACCAGATTCCCATATTACACCTCGATATTTTCAAGAATCTGATTAAACTGGCAATGATTAAATGTTCCTGAGGTTCTGAAATTAATGCAAGTAACAACTTTCGATATAACACGTATGCTCTATCGGCTTTTCACATAAATTCCGTTGGTGAAAACACGCCGATAAAACAGCAGATCACTCTCTCGGCCATGCATTGTTCGGTCCTCACCAAGCCAAAGCATGGATCGTAACATTATTAAGTACGTATGAATATTGATATCAATGCTAAAACACATTGATATGCAGCATTAAACAGATTACGGTCGTGAAATAAAAATGCAATAAATTCTAAAACTTTACATGAGCACGATAATAAGCATCCGACCTACGCGCCGGGGTGTTTATGCCATATCTAGAGGCAATAACAGTGAGAAACAGCCAGAATGGTTACGCTTAGAGAGCATTTTCTAATTCCTTTTTCGAAAGTAAAAAGTAAAGTATACGCCATGTAGGCGTTTGGGGTGAGTGGAGGTATAGCTCCTCTCTTCTTTGACCTCGGCACTAGATGGGGGTGAGTGGTCAGCATCACGCCCCGGCCGGCTTTACCCCCGGGAAAGGACCCCGGTACCCATTGTATAGGAGGCTGGGTGGGCCCCAGAGCCGGTCTGGACGCAGAGACTAGAGGAAAAATCCTCTGCCCCCGTCGGGGATCGAACCTCGGTCGTCCACCCCGTAACTAGTCACTATACTGACTGAGCTATCCCGGATCAAGGCCTTATGTGTAAGACAATGTAATATCGTTCGCTTTTTTCCGGGTTAATCGATTACTCCATACTCACGTATCACCGCCTCACGAGGTATGCGACAACCATGTCCAAGCAGCACACACCCTCGGTCCTCAATTTTATTTTATTCTGACTCCACACTTGGCTGATGTAACGGTGAAGACAATTTATTACTCGACGACTTTCGGTTAGGTGGATCCAGTAATTTTTAAGGTGTCCACTAATAAAACAGAATGCATGGGTTGAGACGCCAGTCGATATTTCATGCACTCACCATCACGACCATCTTCTTGATCCGCGCACACCGCGTGAACAATTGATCACAATTAAGATGAACTACTCGTTGATTGGGTTTTTATTGTTCAGCAAAGTTGAAATCTCTAGTGTTTTTCCTATCTGCTGCAGTTTAGCTTACTTGACGATGGCTCTTTGGAACGACTAAATTTGTTCACCACAGAAGTTTGCGACAGAAACATACAAAAAGAATCTTAAAACCTTGCATACTGTGTACTGTATTGGAATATAAAATATGCATACTATGAAGGACAACGCGTTTCGACGTCAAGAGGTCATCATCAGTGGCAAAAAGAAGTCAAAATCATATTATGTTTTATTTATAACAGAGCATAAAGGTAAGTTCTTACAAAACCATATTTAGCAACACTTCACTGATTGTTGGTTGCACAGGAGATGGCTAACAGTCCACTGGTCTGACGGCCGTCGTCTGTCTACGGTGAGCCGTGGTTGTGTCGTCTTTGCCCGTGAACTTCAACAATGCGTGGGCGTTACTAATGCAATATCAGAACTACAGAAAGTTGAAGTTTTCAAATATGATAAAATTAACACCATTCAGTATACGATCCTCAACATTTCTTTGTGATAACAATTTTAAAATTATGAAAGTTTTAGAACACACCTGAAATGGAAAAGCGAAATACGTTACCTGTAAGAAATAGTTTCAATTTTTTTTATGATAACTAAATAATCGACGAGGAAAAATGTTAAATTTAACATGCGTGATGTATGCACATTTATAACTTTTATATTTCATGTTTATCGTACATTACAACTTCACAAACTTTCAATCTGACCAAAATTAAACCAGTGATTACATCTGAACATGAATGTCTAATTACATTTTCAGAACGAAAAAGAATTCACACACAAACATGGATCAAATCCACGTAAGATAACAAACGTAAAACGACAAATCCCGCCTGACGTTCGGTTTCCCACAGTCTGGTGGTAGCCCCAGCGTGCCAGAATCGCTGTAAGGCGGGGGCACGTCTTCGAGCACTCCTGGAAGAACAGAGACCTAAAAATAGATGCACACATTTCAGAAAGCCCATTTAAATAATTAATAACACCATCAATATTGTTTTAAACTACGAGGTAATTACAGACAGCCGGCCGCAGTGGCCACGCGGTCTGAGGCGTGGACCTCATGTGCCTGGGTTCGAGTCCCACTCAAGGCACGGATGTCTGTCTGTGTCTTTCTGTGTTTGTATAGGTTGAGGCCTTGCATCGGGCTGATCACTCATCCGAGGAGTCCTACCATCGTTCAAATAGATCAACTGAATAAATAAAAACCCTCGACACCTACGGGTAAAAGAGGATGAGAGAAAGAAAGAAAGAAATTAATTATAAACAACATTATATATAAATAATATGCATTCTATAAGTTCACCAGCCCCACCAGGGTTTTTCACAAATTATTAATTTAGTTTTGTCACGCAACAATGTTGATAAAATTTAAATGGTACAAACGGATGTTTTTATGTCTCGAGAAATTATTCCGATGTTCCAATCGCATGTATTTCTGCTCCCCTTCATTCTAAGGTAAAAGGTGAAAAGTGTTTACCTCAGAAATAGACGTTGAAGTTCCCTCCGTTCGGCCACACGTCTATTGGAATGTTGTGTCATGAGAAAAACAACCTGCAAGACGAAATTCCTTCTTTTTGAGTACTGCTGTGAGACGCTGCGGTGTCACACAGGAACTGGGAGCAGGGCGAGCTGCCCTTGCACGCATCACAAATTCACGGATGCTGGGTTGCGGAAAGTTACTTGAACTGGTACTCCGTGGCGTATCTTCCGCGAGATAAAGGGGCTCAAGGTCAGAGAGCATCTGGACAGCCTGAAGACAAAGTTATGCAGAAAGGTAACATAAATGAATTGCTCCTCAATTAGAAGATTATGAATTGCGAAAGCGCTTTCACGTTCTTCTGTCCCATAAGCTGAAGCTTACCTTTCATTAAGAAGGAACTCCAGACTGGAGAGCCCCGAGTTTGTGATTTGCATTGCCCATCGATCTTAACATTCTATATTCTTTACTGGCAGTCGTAAGACGTTAGAAATCACAGAAGCAAAAGTTACATTACCTTTGTATACTGGTAAAAGGGCTTTGGTTAATTCGGAGATGAACCTTCTGGTTTGGTAAGCCATCTAGTTAGTTACTTGTAAACATGACATAAACTGAAGATTTCTGTCTTCTGGGTTGTTGCGCTGTGTAGTCTGGTCAATGTTAACCAGCGTTTCAGAGGTCATACTGCCTCCGTCATCAGGGCGATGAGTATGAAGATTTCTGTCTTCTGGGTTGTTGCGCTGTGTAATCTAGTCGATGTTAACCAATGTTTCAGAGGTCATACTGCCTCCGTTATCAGGGCCATTCATCGCCCTCATGACAGAGACCAGACTACACAGCGCAACAACCCAGAAGACAGAAATCTTCGTACTCATCGCCCTGATGATGGAGGCAGTATGACCTCTGAAACGCTGGTTAACATTGACCAGACTACACAGCGCAACAACCCAGAAGACAGAAATCTTCATACTCACCACTGTGAAAACCTCAAATCGTACATGATATAAACTATTTAAAATAAATGTTATTGGCCTTATTTATTAATTCTCAGTTTCTTTAAGAATGCTTTCAATAGTTGCTATAAAAACCTGATGATGTGATTTACTGAATTAATAAATTACCTGCAACAGTTTCTTTGACTCAGTGCCGTTGTCTCCAGTTACACAAGCAGCCCATCGTAGCGACTAATTTTAATTGTCGTCTAGCTGTCTTTGTTCTTCTCTTACTTAGTCCATTAAGTCTTTATGCATCGCTGTTTTCATTGTTCTTTTCTCAGGATGCTCCTTGCCTATTTTGGGCATTTTCTTTATGCCGTCGGTCGTTGCTGTTCAACTTCATCTATTTCTGCCATCTTTCCATCTGGCACAAGGGGAAATATTTGCTGCACACATAGCTTACTTGCTACGGCCATGAACAGTGGCAGATATGATGCTCCTTAGGTCATTTAACAACAATGCCAAATGGAAGAATTATTTCAGATAAGGAAACATTGGTGGCCTATTTTAAGATATTATCTAAGAATATGGCTGGAGGCAGATCTTTCTTACCTTTCAGACCTTAATATGAATGCTGTATCAGCCTCGGTTATCGATTATCTTCCAAAAGCAGAAAGTTGTGAGAGTGAAATTTAAAAAGGCAATCACGAACCTTCTGTGCATCTGAGAACATAATTCGTATCTTGGATCCAATGACACCTCGTGGTCCACCTGGAACATCAACTTCTGACAAATGCATAAGTTTTGAAAGGAATGTGCGAAGTTCAAGATTCTGCTCAGTTTCGGGTGCCAAGGAGAATTTCAGTTCCAGGGATTTTGCCTGAGCAATGGTGGCTTCTGCTTCAGCAATTTCATGGGCCAATTCCTGTAACAAATTAAGGTTATAACATTATGTTTCTTTGTATCATGAAAGATAAAGTTGAACAGACATGTATATTGTTTAATGATGACATGAAAAAAGTAGTTACAGCCAATTTTTTGCACTTCTTTCTTAGACTGTTGTCTGGTGACTTTATGTCAACACCTCAGGATCTTATTCCTAAAGTCATTCCTTGTCTGAAATGTCATATAAACAAAGGTCTAATTCTCAACCGTTATGGAGCTACCATATTTGAAATTCAATATTCATATGTTTTGCACCATGGCAATTTGATGATGCATTCATACACCATGTTTTCCATGGCAATCTAGTGAAGTTCAGTGACCATAGTGGACAATTCTGCAGACAACTATGACCATCCTAATGGTCAGGGAACTGCTCATTCAGGCACAACATGGGTCAACAAACTTCCATGGCGGTCTAGCGGTAAGAACGCTGCGCTTGTAATACTGGGGTCCCGGGTTCGATTCCTGGCAGTGCTCAGATTTACAACTTATGTTGAGCAAGGCCGTGGTCTAGGCATCATGGAGTTTTCCTCCGGGGTTTCCCCGGTTTCTCCGTGGCATCCCAACAATTACTCCACTTTCATCATCATTTCGCAAAAAAGGGGGCCACAGCAGGAGCATTAAATGTCGCAGTCCCGATCGAACCCATGTACTGATGGGTCGTGAATCCTGCTAACCACCAATGCACACCATGCTGAATGGTGTGTACTGGTAGGTAGAAGTAGCAGTTACTTTAATAAGTGTCTCATGCTGCAAGATGAGAATGATTAATACCAGTGCAGGACGTAAAGACTGAACAAGCAAGATCTGTGATTTATAGCTGTAAAGAACTGAAATAAAGATATAATGATTTGTAATCATCTCAAGATTAATAAATTCATATTTCAAACAAAGAATCCAGCAAGGTGATCGCTGATTATTGCTACATTACATAATGTTATATACATTAATATGAAATAAATATCTATTCATAAAATAATTAAATGATTTGTCCATCAAGCAAATAATTTAGAAAAGTAAATCTAAATCATATATTGAATTCGTATTAAAAATATATTAGATTTACCACTGAATTTCAATGTTATTAATAGTCATCATATTTTTCTTGCATGATATTAAATAAACACTATACAGAAAAAATATTATAATCACACTTACAATTTTTAATTAATCTATATTTCATACAAATTTTATAAGCCATTTTTATTTGACATTTTATAAAGTTTGATTTAATCTCATGTAAAGTAGGGTTTATAGTGAATCAATAAATGCAAAAATAAAATTGAATTTATAAATTCAGATTTCCACATCAAATTTGATCATAATCTGTCAATTACTTTTGGGAAATGAAGCAATTATGCAGCAAACACTATCTCATTAAAGTCAAATGTATGCATAGAACACACCAAATGAGTCAAGAGGACATTTAAATTCCTACCATAATCATAAATAAAAGAGATAAAATTAAAAAAAAACATTTTTTGAGTAGCATTTGTCCTCACATCAAACTGCTTCAGTGTTGGTCTTGGATTTCGTGTGATTCTTTCAGCAATCTTTATTATACGCCGAAATGAGTCTGACAGCATTGGAAGATCTTTCTGTTCTTGCAGGAGCCGGCAGATGGAAGCATGTATCAGTGCAGGCATAAGAAGCTCTGCAACAGCAGACAGCTTCTTCGATTCTAAGAAATGTAACACCTTCTCTGCTTCGCGGGTGTCATCGAATAATCGCTTCTGCCGTCTTGCGGGTACTGGTTTTGCTGCTTCCCATACATCCAGCCACATATTACCTTTAATCAGCATACGGGGACTTAGAGAACCTGCAATGTGTTCAAAAATATGCAAATAAACTGACTGTTAATCACGACGGTGGTAAACATCCATGGGAGGATAAATCGCTAAATAATGTATATGCAACACATTTAGTGACCTTATCTTCCATTTGCAGAAGCATATTTTATACAATCATCCAAGGTATGAAGAATGATAAGATCAGTGTACAGATATGGTAATTTGCTTTAATGTAAAGGAATGGAAATATGTAATTATCTGCACCATTTACAGCACAGATAATTATGTCTTCCACAGAAACTGAAGCTCTTAAAATGCCAATAGTTTCAGCCGTTTCACTCATAATTAAACTTTTCTCAGGATTTTTACTTTTAACACTGGACAACCCATCATCAGCACTGAAGTGAGGAGAGCAAGGAAGTGCATGGTTTACACAGAATTAATAATCCGTAGCGTAACAGCCCTCTGAGAGCCAAAGCTGACTAGCTGGCTGCTGGCCTCATGTTCACATGCCTAAGCAGAGGTAAACGATCATCCAACCAGATATAGGGTGACGTGTGGTCAGCACAACGAACCCCCATCCATTTATACAGAATTAGAGACAATCAGATGAGAGTGGCAAATCAGGGGTGAAGTCAATCTTACAGTACTGACAGCAGGCAAGGACATTGTTAAAGTAATCCTCAGTATTGAAAAGTACACATGGAAGACTGTTGCCATTCTGGAAGATCTGGCATACAAAAAACTGGCCAAGGAACTTACATAGGCGACTAAACATTGGACTCACCATTATCTGGCAAACAAGCAGGCTGTGTTTTTCATCCTGGTTCACAGGGCCAAAGCAAAATGCAACCTGAACAATCTCCACCAGCAACTAGAACCACATTTGTGTATAATTATTTTTAATATTTTTCTATCCACCTATGCTTAAGTCTCCAAAGTGGTATCTTCTCTTCAGGCATCCCAACTAATATTTTGGTGAATAGTACAAATTATTAAGCCACTATATTGGATGTATAAACCCATTCCTAGCAAACAGAATACAAATGTTCACCACAAAAATAACAAGTTTCATATAACTACTGATCCAGGTCATTTAAATTCAGTTTGTCTCTCCACAGTCTAATTCCTTCAAATGTTTTTTTTTTTATGTTTTGCTTTTACCCATATCTACCAAACAGCGCCGACAGATCAACACACAATAATACAGTCAACTTGCATCTGGGACATATGTGGTTTGAATCCTGGCTGGGAACAACAACCCAGAAACTATATGTAGCTTTGTGAAAGATCCTCCTTTAAAAAACACTCATTTCAGGAACCCAGCACAATAAATCATTTGCTTAAATCATAAGTCAGACAATGACAAACAATATCACACCAGACTACACAGCGCAACAACCCAGAAGACAGAAATCTTCATACTCATCGCCCTGATGATGGAGGCAGTATGACCTCTGAAACGTTGGTAAACATCTACCAGACTACACAGCGCAACAACCCAGAAGACAGAAATCTTCCTAATATCACATACACTGGCAACCAGAGTATATTACACAGGTCATGAGAAACAAGAGGAATCTTAACAAATATCAGTGGTACCTTTCTTTTGTCCATAATCATCCAGCTCCTCTTCCTCAATCCAGTCCCTTGGCGAGTACCAACGAATGAAGTCTTCCAATATGGCCCCTGGATTTGCAGCCTGGAAGTGACACAAAAACTAGTGACGAATTTAACAGTACAATTCCTAAAATTTTTAGGTGTGAAAGTCTTCTTGCCTAAAAATTTCAATGGCTAAAATGCACTGATTTCAGAAAACAGACAACTGAACAACTATGGTATCCACAGTGCACAAAGAAAAAAGAAAAAAACAATTAAAATGTCACCTATTTGAAATTCTGAGGAATATCTGTGTTTACATATGGAGTAATGTTAAAAAGAGTTGAATTCTCATGGTAGAGACAGCATTCAGTATTCTGCTATTTTATTTTTATCTTTTGCATTATAGCATAAAATGCCTATTTCATGAAAGAAAATAACTTCAAAGGTTTAAAAATAAATTAAATTTCATGGCCTCACAGGAATTACATACACAGTAATTAAAAAAGAAAGAAAAATCTGCAGGGAAATGGCTTGGCTTCACCACTGCAAGCATGCTGCCACCTACGCTATCATTCACGATGCGAAAACGCAACCCATTACTCGAGTATAAAGCAACAGTGAAGAAGATGGAGAGTAAAGCTGTCTTCCAACAAAACAGTGGAGTTCCTTCACCTAACATTTTGGCCAGGAAGTTAGAGGAGGGTCCACTACCATCTGAGGGTAACAACTGACCGAGTCCCATTGCAAGTAACTCTGCGGTGCAGAGTCTTTTCTTGAAAAGCTGATGGTCACTCAGCTGATCAAAACATCCCAAGGGTTCATTATATATTTCATATGGAATTCTGCCACTGGATCATTTCATGACTCAGTTGAATTCAGTCCACACACTCACGCTCTATTTGTGTAGGGTCAATTTTAGTTTTATCTAGGCCTTGATCTCCCAAGTGGTCTCTTACTTTAAGGTGTTACTGGTAACTGTTACACTACAGCATTTAAAGATACCTTGAAAGACTCCATGTCTGACAGCAGAGAAGCGCTCATCAGGCGCGCTCGCATCTCTGCACCTTGGGCATCTGTTCCCAACTGCAGCAGAACTTCTGCATCTTCTTCCACCTGATCCTCAGTTTTTGGAACTGGTTCCTGTTCATACAAACTCTCGCATTACTTCACACACATTGTTATGTTACAGATCAGTTTCTCATTTTATTCAAAAGAATTGTTTCAATTGCAACGATTACATTTACTGCAACCAACAATATATTTTTCATTCAATAAGCTGGATGTTACCAATTTCTATGCCAGTCTCTTATTACATTGTCACTCGGAGGTTGCTTATTGAACTGTGTGCGGTAATTTCGTTGAGTCTGGGTGAATGATTCTGTCTCAAAAGGCCATCCCACACAACGCGCGCGTTCCTGCACAGTCGCCATTTCACAAACAACTGACTGAGAAACGTAAAGATGGCCGCTTATGCCATCTGTTGGCAGAAAAATAAACTTCCCGAGTTTCATTGTAATCTGCTGCAAACCGCATGCGGCTAGCTCAATTTTTTTGTGCGAAACCCCGAAGGGACTTTGTGGACACACTGTATGTATGCACTATCTGGCCCAGGCCGACATCCAATGGTAAGCTCTTATAGTGACAATGACCGACTTTCAGGTTCCATAAACTAGTGTTCAGGCATTTCAAGTTGGGTCAGGTGTAGGAAGAAGAGGATGAGAAGGGATAATCTAATATGGCCCCCCCATACTAGTACAATTCTTGCCAATATGGTAGCCCCTCTAATCAGTTTGTGTAGCTGAAAGCCTACACACATTAATTTAGCTATTCTCTGACAAGCTGAGTATATACGAGGTGCGATCGGAAAGTTTCAAGACTGCGCCTATAAAAACCCGTACACTTATCTCAGGTATTAAATTCATCCATCACCCTCGAAGTAGTTCCCCTGGGAGTGAACACAACGA